AAAAATTATTAAAGATCTAGAAGGCATGACCTATGTAGATTGAAAGAACTGGGGTTGTTTAGTCTGGAAAAGAGAAAACGGAAAGAGGACATAAGTTTTCAAGTACTGAAAAGGGTGTTACAAGGAGGAGGAAGAAAAAAATATTCTCCTTAACCTCTGAGGAGAGGACAAGAAGCAATGGACTTAGATTCCAGGAAGGAGGTTTAGGCTGGATATTAGGAAAGACTTCCTAACTGTCAGGATGGTTAAACACTGGAATAAATTGCCTAGGGAATTTGTGGAATTTCTCTCAATGGACATTTTTAACAGCAGATTAGACAAACTATCAGGGATGATCTACATGGTTCTTGTCTCTTCCAGTTCCATGATTCTATGCTTGTGGGGGGAAAAATATAATCACTTTGCATGGGAATGTTAATGTTGACATAGATTTCCATAAGGCCAGGAGTGCAAACTTGGGTTAAAGCAGTTCATTAGTTGTTACCTGCACAAATTTCTCTATCCCTTCCACACTTTAGACACACACACCTTTACCCAGTTCCTAGGGCTCAAGGTACAACCCTTACCCAGTTCCTAGGGCTTAAGGCGTAACTTCCTGTGGGTTTGCAGGGTCTTTTGCCACTGAAAGGGTCTTACACAGTAATATTCTTATTCTCTGTTTATTGACAATTCCCAAGCAAGCAGAATACGCATGCTAAGCATGCAGTGTCATGCTCACTGATCCTGATAAAGGCAGGCAGACTTCTATTGGCCAGGCAAGCTCAGTCTCTCTGTATCTTAGCTGCTGCACATCACGGTCATGCAGAGGAGGCTGTGTCTTGGAGATGAGTTCTTTCAGGTCTTCCCTCCTTTTTCTTGAGCTTTCTTGCTTTCTTCTTGCTTGTTTCCTTCTTGTACCTTAGTTTATATAATGAAACCCGAGTCCTGCTTAGCTATACCTTAACCAATTATTTTAGTATAATTTTACTAACTAATCCTAACATACTGTAACAGAATTACCTAACCAATCAGACCCCACCACCGTAGTTGATTTACACCTAGAAAAATTAATTATACAGTAGACAAACCAGAGAGATCACACAGACAAACAATAGGAAAGTGAGGACAATAATCTTAGAATGAGGATTCCACAACCTTTACTATTAATAAGCAGTTTCTTGCCAGAGGAAATGCTGTTAACCAAGTTTTCTCTACCCATCTTGATATCTGTTTCTTTATGTGGTGACAGTTGGTGCCATTAGGATAGGATCCCCTTCTCACAGCCCAGTGACACACTATTTTAATGCAATTTAGATGGAATGTGAGTATGTGACTCCAGGCTTTACAACTAATGGCTGCTTTTTAGTCTGGCTGCAAAAGAAGGCTTTAGTTTAGGCCTTCCAATATGGCTACAGAAAAACCATATTGTTACATAACTGTGTACTCGAATGGGGAGCTAAACCAGAGGGACTAATTATCCCTCAGACTTCAAAGTAGGTAACAACTTTGCATGTGTGTATATTTGAGATGTTTTTTCTGTCTGCCTGTCTGTGTCTATTTGCTCAAGAACTAAGAGCTAGGACCTTCTTCTTATCATAACGTACAGCAAGGTAAGGGTTTGGTTGTGCCAGAACAATGGGATGTACCTGGAATGCAACTGTTTCTCATAAAACAGAAAGGGATAAGACTGCTAGTGGGAACAGTTATTCTGCATAATGACCACAAGGGGGCATCAAGAGAACAGAGATGAGGACCAGAATAGCTATAACCCCATTGGGCCAGCAGGGGCTGGAGTGGAGAAGAAGACAGTTATTTAATATAACTTTTAGAGAATTTATGTGTGTGCTTGTCTGTGTGTCTCTTTCCCCCAGTTGGGGAACATTCACCCCTCCCCTGGTTGTGCCTGCTGCAGCTGCCATGGACAGGCACTTCTCACCAGGGCCCCAAGTTGCTGTGGTGAGAGTGAGCTGTGTTTGTCCTCTCTTCCCCAGGGTAGCCTGCATATTGAACCCCTCATCCTGAGCCTCCCTCCCCCCTCCTGCCCCGCCAAGCAATGATTCAGATGAAAAAAAAATTTTGCATTAAGAATCTGACTGTGATCTGGTGTGCAGGTTTGTAAAAAGTGATGCTCTGGAAATTTTAAAATAAATTAGAAAACAAACAGGTTTTTCCTTTTCTCAAGTAAAAATTGCTTCATAGCAGGACTAGTGTATAGCTTGTGTTTTGGGCTCATTTTTGTTGGCTCTTCTCTTTTTGGAAGCTGAACTCCTTTCCTGTGATGGGAAGTATTTGCATAGCAATAGCTCCTAATTGCTTTGAAGCCAGATATTCTTCAAATTCAATCTGTGATGTGCAATCTGTGGCATCAGCAACACACTGCCTAGCACCCAGGACCTGGGTTCTGGCGCCATTCATGACCTCACTTGCTTATTATGCTACTGGGAAAGCTGCACTTTCACTCCTTGCTCGCAGATTTAGTGCCTCTTCCCCATATGCTTTAACACCAGTATCAGAAAAACAGCGTAATTACATGGCCCCCTGATGTGACTGCATGCTGCTTTCTCACATAGTCAGAAAGCCAGACAAGCCATTGAGTGGGGGGAAATGATGAGGTACAGAAAGAGACAGAGAGAGGAAATACGCTGCAAATAATAAAGGGAAAACTCTAAGGAGAGAGAAGAACAGAAGGAAGGAGAAAGAGAAGAGGGACCAAAAGACAAGGTAAAGGTAATGGAAAACTTACACGAAAACATACTATACGTGGCTGCTTTATAGTTAAGAATAAGTAAGAGAAGCATTTTAAACTATCAGTGTCATCTTTATTCATGTGTATTTGTCCCTGTACTTTAATCTTTTTTATTTTGTGTCTTCTCTACACAATCCCATCATTTAGAATAATGTTTTATATGTTGTTTATATCTCAAACCTTTTGACCCTCGGACTGTGCATCGAGAGCTTGTATTTGGTAAAAAAGCTGTGACTTCTTCACTGGCAATGCTCATATTCATGCTTTAGCACCTGGCAGAAAAGTGGTAGGAGGACAGTTTAGTCTGGAGTTGTATGTGTGACTCGATCTCATGTATGCACAGCAGCCTTAAATATTATTAGTATTCTGTAATCACGACCACAATATTGCACCTTATAGTACAGTTACTGCAGTGCTTTCTTTTCACAATAGAGTTTGTTTTCAATATTGGCAACTGGATTCCTGCTCTTTACATATATACTTGCTGTGCTCAAACAGGAAAATTTGCCTTTAAGAAGGCTCAAAGAATGTAGCAAGGAGGAAGGCATTTATTTGTAAGCCTGACTTGGGAAAGACTTCCATTGACATTAAAGGTCAAAGTGGATCAGGATATTTAAAAGTGTGCAGTAGTGTAGTTGAGGGTAACTTGAGTAAAAACCATTTACTGACTTCTCTGGAGGAATATGAAGTTTAGTTCAGGTATATTTAATCACTTCTTTTTTTCACCACTACACTGACTGTGCAGCTTCAAGGTGGGACTAAACTAATAATGGGAGAAGTTTCAGTCCAGACTTTGGCAAGGGAGTTAGACTTCATTGTGATAGGAATGGGGGGGAGGGGAAGGGAAGTGTTCTAAGGCTGGCATGGAGAGTGGGGTTTGCATCTAATGAAGAGGGGGGCATTTCTAGACTGGCCAAGGTGAGTGGGGTTTCAGTGTGATAAGGAGGTAGTTCTAGAGCAGGCCAAGGGGAACAAGGTTTGAATGTAATTAAGTAATTCAAGAGCAGGCCAATGGGAGCATTGTTGAATGTGATGAAGGGGGCAGTTTTAGAGTCAGTCAAGCAGAGCAAGGTTTGAGTGGGATGAGCAGGAGCAAGTCTAGAGCGAGCCAAGAGAAGCAAGGCTTGAGTATGATGGCGGGAGGCAGTTCCCGATCAATGTTTCATTTGATGATGGGGCATTGGGTAAGTTCTAGAATGTCCACAGACATAATAATTGTAGACAAGCCAAAGGGAGCAGGGTTTGGGAGCAATGATGGGAAAGGCAGTTGATGGGGGCCCAAGAGAGCGGGGATTGGGTGCGATGATGGGAAGAGCAGTTGACAGGGAGGGCAATTGATGGGGCCCAGGGGAGCGGGGGTTGAGTGTGATGACAGGAAGCACAGTTGACGGGGCTGAGGAGAGCGGGGTTTGGGCATGATGACGGGAAGGGCAGCTGACAGGGCCCAGGGGAGCAGAGGTTGGGCACGATGACGGGAAGGGCAGTTGACGGAGTCCAGGGGAGCAGGGGTTGGGTGCGATGACGGGAAGGGCAGTTGAGGGGGCCCAGGAGAACAGGGGTCGGGTGCGATGACCGGGAGGGCAGTTGATGGGGAGCAGGGGTTGGGCGCGATGACCAGGAGGGCAGCTAATGGGGCCCAGGAGAGCAGGGGTAGGGCGCGATGACCGGGAGAGCAGCTGACGGGGTCCAGGAGAGCAGGGGTTGGGTGCGATGACGGGAAGGGCACCTGACGGGATCCAGGGGAGCAGAGGTTGGCATGATGACAGGAAGGGCAGTTGACGGGGTCCAGGGGAGCAGGGGTTGGGTGCGATGACGGGAAGGGCAGTTGAGGGGGAACAGGGGTCAGGTGCGATGACCGGGAGGGCAGTTGACGGGGAGCAGGGGTTGGGCGTGATGACGGGAAGGGCACCTGACGGGGCCCAGGAGAGCAGGGGTTGGGCGCGATGGCGGGAAGGGCAGTCGACGGGGCCCAGGGGAGGATGACGGGAAGGGCACCTGACGGGGCCCAGGAGAGCAGGGGTTGGGCGCGATGGCGGGAAGGGCACCTGACGGGATCCAGGGGAGCAGGGGTTGGCATGATGACAGGAAGGGCAGTTGAGGGGGTCCAGGGGAGCAGGGGTTGGGTGCGACGATGGGAAGGGCAGTCGACGGGGCCCAGGGGTTGGGCGCGATGGCGGGAAGGGCAGCTGACGGGGCTCAAGGGGGCGGGGTGTGGCTGCGAGGCGAAGATGCCGTTCTGGCCCGGGTGGGGGAGCCCTTGGCAGGCAGGCAGGGGGCCGGGGGCCCGTGCGCTCTGGCCGAGGCTGCGGAGCGGGGCCGCGTGTGCCCCCGAGTTGGGAGGAAGAGGAAGTGCAGCGGCTCCGGCTCTGCGGAGCTGCCTGTCCCCGCCGAGGCGCCTCCCAGTCCCCGAAGCGGAGCCTCCCCCGGCCGCCTCCGCTCCCATCTCCCCGGCGGCACAAACTTTCTGCCCTGCCATGAGCCGGGCTGCGAGCGGCGGCGCCCGCGTGTCCCTGCCCGGGCGCTGAGCGGCGGAGCCTGCCGAGCCAGCCAGCTGCAGAGGAGCCCGCCCTAGGTAAGGGGACCGCTACTTCTGCCCGCCCGGCACCGCCCCGCTCGCTCTGCAGGCTCGTCCCCAGGCCCGCTTGGGCTCCCGCCGCGCCCAGGGCGGAGGTGCGAGGGCGCGGGGCGCTGCAGCCCCTGCCCCAGCCAGCGCCCGGGCTGGGGGGTGCGTGCCTGTGGCGGCCGAGGAGCCAGCAGCTCTGGGGGCAGCGGCGCCTTCCCTTCCCTGCCCTGCCTGGGGCGGCGGGGGGCAGCCCCCGAGCGGCGCGCGGCTCCCCCCCCCTTTCCTCTTGAAGTTTGACAAGGGACCGTCTGCGCCGCCCCCTCCCCCTCTCTGCTGGGCAGGGCGCTGAGTTACAGGCGGCAGCGGTGGCGCGACGGGCTTTGACTGCTCGTTTCCCCCCTCGAGCCGCTGGGTGCCTGCAGTTCCACCGGGACATTTGGGTGCAGGGGGAGGATAGGAACTGGAGCTGGGCAGGAACCCCCCACCCTCCAGCTTCTCCTTTGTTTCCTTGTGCGAGGGCCTGATCCGAAGCCCAAATGAAGACAGCTGGGGTTTTCCAGATACTTTCCTGGGCTTTGCATCAGGCCCCAAAGAAGTAGCCAAGCACGTGCCTTGGATTCATCTCGGACTAGCAGTCCGGCATCACTTAATGGCAATGTTGGGCCTGAACTAGCAGCTCCGAAATACTCTTGGCTGAAAATGTCCACTTCAGTCCATGGCTAGCTTTTCTGAGTCTTTCAGGCTGCATGTCTGTGTTGTCAGGATGCTTCGGTTATAGCTTTATGGCTGGTAAGTCAGGTCACAGTTGGGAACTTGGTGGAGATACTGTATCCAGACCTGAAGACACACGATAAAGGCCGAAATGAGGAAGAAATTGGAGAAATTTTTCCCATTAGGTAAACAACACAATGAGCAAAACTAGCTTACACTACAGTGTACATAACCTAAACTCTGTAATACAGCATCACTCTGGCTTTAAGCAGAGAACTATGCTGTTGTGTGATGCCTGAAGACCAGTGTGATAATGGCTTGTTAGTCCTTCTGGCTAGAAATTCCTCAGTATGTTAATTGGGACTCAAGAACAGTGATACACTGATGTGGTATGGTTCACAGAGATTATGGACATCAGTGATGTTTTGGCAGTGTAGGACAACAGTTATTGAATGTGAGTGTGCAGGAATGTGTTTGTGTGGATGTGAACATGAACTTGGGTAATCTAGAAAATGTGAATGCTGTACTTTTTTCTAGCGTTATTTAATCTGCATCTTTGTAGGAGCTATTAGTGTTTCTGCTTGTCATTGTCCCAGTAACCCTACATACTCTTGGAAAAGTACAACTAGATGGCATGGGAATAATCTTCGCAATGTGTCCAAAGGATTTCTGTATAAGTCAGTATTCTCTTCCTGTGGCACTAATAGCCTTGATAGGGAAAACAAAAGGGAATGAGAGGTTGCTGAATGGCAAGAGCGAGCACCAACACTAAGCTCTAAATTAGGATGATAGATGTGTTTTATCCCAAACAAATTATTTATTGGGAGTAAAACTGTAAATATTCTATCATCTTGCAGTTTCCAATTTTTATTTGAAAACTTTAAAGGGCACTTTATCTGATTAAAAGAAATTGCCAGTTGTTCCATTTGGAACCCAGTGGTACTCAATTAACTTTTTTTTCCTTAATAGAAACAATAATTAACATTGCCAAGACATAAATGATCTTCATTTTACTAGGGGAAAATGTTGTTAATCTTTTTACATTTCCTTCATAATGCTTTTAATCCATTAGTTTCCATTTTTACATTAGTAATAAATCATGTGAATAATGTATTTTTCACAATATCAGCAGTCACATTTATGACTTTATTTCTGTCTACCTTCCTTGCATTTTTAGAGGAACCTTTACATTGGTATAATACATTTACTGTATCAGATATGGGGAATTCCCATTGGTATTCCCCTGGCCTGAGAATGAAAATGTAGTGCAGAACTGAATATGTGTAAATATTACTAAATATTTACAACAGCCGTGAGTTGTGCTGGGAAACATAGCTAAATAATTTGTGCTTTCAAATCATTTAGAAACCTAAATTTTATAAACCATTGGTTCTCAGTCAGCGATGTATGTAACTCGAGATACTCAGAGGTCTTTCAGGTACATTCACTCATCAAGACATTTGCCTAATTTTACATCAGGCTACATAAAAAGCCTGATGTAAAGTCAGTAGAAACTAAAATTTCATAAAGACAATGCCTTGTTTATATTTCTGTCTATATTATCAGCTGAAATATAAGTACAATATTTATATTGCAACTGATTTTATTTTGTAGTAAAAATGATGAAGAAAGCAATTTTTCAGTAATAGTGTACTATGACATTTTTGTATTTTTGTGTCTCGTTTTGTCAACAAGTAGTTCTTCAGTGAGGTGAAACTTAAGGGTACACAAGACAACTCAGACTCCTAAAAAGGATAGTCTGGAGAGGTTGAGAGCCATTGACATAATGTCCATTGTCTAGCTGTGTGGAACAAAGCTGCTTTTCCTATTATTCTTGTAAACATACTTATAAAACACATATACAGGAGGATCCCTAAGGGGAAGCAGGGCAACGCACCCTCCATCCTAGGCGTAGGGCCGGAGGAAATCCCCCTCACCCCAGAACCCATCCCACCTCTTCCAACTGCTGCCCTGCCTCTACTGCACCCCTTCCTGCCAAGTCCCACCATTGCTCTGCTCCCTCCCTTCCTCTTCTCCACTCTCTTCAGCCCCCATTGTACACCTTACCCAAAGCCTCCTCCCCTGAGCTACATGACCGAAAGGCTTACCTGGGAGACCTGGAGTGGGTCCCACACACTCACTGTGGCGACAGGAGCTAGAACAACTCAGCAGCCTGCTCCGCTTCACCATGATGGTGGCAAGCAGAGTGCCCTAGCCCCAGCCTGCTCTCCTCTGCTCCTCTGAGCCCTGCATCACTTGGGCTGGGGCTGAGTTGCTCCATTTGCCACTGCCACAGTGAAGTGGAGTGATTCAGCTGGGAGATTGGCAGTGGAGTGGAGCAGGCTGCTGGGTCGCTCTGTCTCCTGCCATCGCCGTGAGTGCAGGAGCGAACCCGACCCTCAGCTAATCCCCTGGGCCCTGAAGGTCCTGTCCAGAGGACTGTTGAGGCAGCCATTGCAGGGCCTCACAAAGTGTGGGACCTGAGGCAACCGCCCCAAACCATCTGATGGATGAGATGGCTCTGCACACGTAGATAGTTCAGGACAATTTCACTTTTATCATAGGAAGGACAGTCCTTAAAATTTACAAAGTGTTTTAGAGATTACAAATTGTAAAAGAAGGATGAATTCAAACACTTTGTGAGAACATGGTGGGAGTCAGCTGTTCTTTCTGCAGACCAATTTTCTATATAATGGGCTTCCTGCTTTTGTTGGTTGTTCACTCTATTTCTCAAGTCTGGTGCTGTCCATAATCTTCCCAAGTCTTGGTTCTTTCCCTGATATTTCTTGTCACTTTTCTACTTCACACTTTTGTTTATGGTGGAGAGAGGAATCTGCTTTCAAGCAAATCCTTTCTTCAGGATTTAGCTTTAAAAAAATTGAGTGGGCTTGGGAACTTCTTTACTTTTCTGCAGTCAGTGTAGGTAGAAGAGAACTGAGGCTGTGCCAACCCTCTCCAGGCTGACAGAGACTGAGCTAGGCTAAAACTTTGGCAGAGCCAAGCTGTTTTCACCAGTTTCCTCCATAAGAGCTGTTCTTTAAAACTGAACATCATACTTGGGGAGCAGCTCAGATGCCTCTTCTTCTAATGATGTGTTAGGCTAATGGCTGGCCAAAGCACTGAGCAGGGTCAGAGGCAAAGCCCTTTTTAGTATTGAGTCCAAAATGGGAGGATTAAAATTGTGGAACCTTTAAAAAATGAGTGGTCCCTGTGATTGCACAGCAAAGCTAAAACCCTGCAGTTGTTTTTAAGTCTTCCAACAGCCCTGTAAAGGAGATAAATATTGTCCCTGTCTTACAGAAAGGGAAACTGAGGCAGACAGCTGTGACTTACTCAGAATAGAGAGGGAGACACAGAGACCTGTAAATTGAATGAAGTGACCCTTACACTCACTACTAAAAACAAACTTCTGAGAGATATTATTAAAATATGTATTTCTTGCAACTGTAAGAACTCATAAATAAATCTTCAGTAGTATTCAGCAATCTTCATTAAATTTTGCCATTCAAAATTTTATTGAAGTACTTTTTAGTTTTCAGCTCTGTCCTCAGCAAGGAGCTGCTGCGGTAGCTGAGGGAGAAGTGCCTGTCTCCCAGCCAGGCAGCTCAGTGCAGGAGTCCCTGGCTGGTCAGGACTCATTAAGCAGCTGCAGGGCTGTGCTCCTGCACAGCTTAAGGAACACTGCCTCCTACCCCAGCCTTGAGTCCCCTCCTTCACTCCATACCTTTTTTCCACAGCCCCATATCAATGCCCACACTCCCAGGCTGTAGCCCTCCTCCCTCTCCTGCATCCAAACTCCCTGCCCCAGCTCAGTAAAAGTGAGTGAGAGTGGGAGAGAGCGAGTGAAGGAGGGAGCGGGGCTGGACGGAGTAGTGGCTGGGACCTCAGAAGTGGTGGGGTAGGGTGAGGCCTCAAGAAAAGCACAGGGCAGGGGGCAGGGCAGGAGTGTTTGGTTTTGTGCAATTAGAAAGTTGGCAGCCCTGATGGAACCTGTTTTTTTGTTGTTGTTGCTTATTTATCCTTTAAACTCCTGAGAAAATATCCTGTTTTCATACCTTTAACCCAGACATTTAAAAATACCTAAGAAAAAGAAAGGTGGGGACCATTAAGTCATTAAACTACATGTTAGGCCACCTCATTAGCAACTAAAGTTATAGCCATTGGGAAAACAATTATTCAGTGTGTCAGTATGAAAATAGTTGGCGGCCTCAATCCACTCACAAATACAAAGGTGTCCGCTTTGTAAAACTGTCCATAGCAAATGATTCTTTTGTTGGTGTTCTCAGCAGAGACATCAACATCTGTATGAGCATGAAGCCACAAATGATTGACCTTTGAGAACAAGATTGAGAAACTTTGTCAGGGAACCATGGGGAAGTTTGTGTTGCTATACTGTTCTGTGGTAGGATACGGTTTTAATTCTCTAGGGCCTACAAGCCCAAGAAAAAATACAAAATTGTCTGCAATACTGAACAACATTATACAGAATGCATTTTTTCACAAGCTAACAGAGTCTTTAACAACCTCCTCTGCACCCCTTACACACAAGAAAAATCCTATGAATTTTCCTGGGACTTCTCACATGAAGACAAGCTGCAGACTCTGCACTAGTAATACTAACAATTTACATAGCACTTTTCACCCAGAACGCTCTATAAACATTTGCCTAGTTATATGCGCTCTACATAGGGATTATCTCATCCACCACTGAAATACAGCCAAATATTGATTTGCTTGATAAGACTTCTTACGGCCTTTGCCCTGATTCAGCAAGACACCTAAGCATATGCTTAAAGTCAGGCAAGTGAGTAGTTCCATTAAAGTCCATTGAAATACTCATGCTTAAGGTACAGGCAGGCTGCTTTGTCATACTGTTTTAACATATGGTTTTCTTTGAACTAGTTATATTGTCCTAAGATCCTTGTTGTATTGTTAATGGATGTAAAGAAGCAAAGCAAAGCAAAGGAATTCTTATTTGTAAAAGAAAGCTCAGTCATTGCATTACTTTGTTAAATATTTTTGGCTACCAAATATTTTTGCAGTGCTGACTATCATTATTGATCACAGACTCTATGCTATCAAAAATAGAAAAAATGAGCAATACTTAGTACTTAATTCACTAAGTAAAATATCTAATTCCAGCTTTATAGAAGTGATATAAAATAATGAAGTTCATGTAATTATGCCAAAATAAACAGAGAAATGTTATTTTTCCTGTAGGGTAAATGGCAAAAGACTTAAAGCTTGGCACAACTGATAACAAACATTTGTGTAACATTTCTCTTGGACACTTTCATAGCAAAGCTGCAAATCTTCTTTTTAGCACATGTTGATTTCTGTTTCCAATTTGTGCTTCGGCTATCAGCATTCTGCCAGCTTTTATTCTATTTTAAAGTTGGCTATCTAAGATTACTATTCTGTAGCTTACCCTGGAAAAGACCGGAAGGATGGAAGGAACACAGGATTTATTTTTTATCTTAAGTCCCATAAAAGCTGAAACATCTAGTTTCAAATACATGTTTCAATAAAACAGCTTTCAATAAAATAATAGTGTACCCGGTAATTTTATCTTTAAAAAAGTGAGTCATGCATGATGCATATACATAGCCTGTTTAATATCTGAACATTTATTAAATTAGGCTGTTTCATAATGATCTGTGGCTAGCATATTTTTAAAATTATACATAAATAATAAAAGCTTTGGCATATGAAATAGAAAAATGAATGCTGTTACTTTTTTTCTTCACTCTTCCCCTACCTCTTTGAATCAGCAGCTGTTGAAATGGGTTGTGGACTAAACAAATTAGAGAAACGTGATGAAAAACGGCCTGGTAATATCTATTCAACTTTGAAGAGGCCACAGGTGGAAACGAAGATAGATGTTTCATATGAGTATCGTTTCCTGGAGTTCACAACTCTGAATGATGGTAAGTACACAAGTCTTTTTCTTTTCACTTATTTTTGATGACACAGAGATGCCAGTCAGTTCATAATGCTTGTAACCAGCATGGTATATGTGAGTATTTAATCTCTTTAGTGTTAAATACATTAAATACATGAAGTCACAATGATCTTGATTATTTTACCATCTTGACAATATCTTACTCAACATTTTTTCTACTGTGGATTTTAAACCAATGCATAAAAATGTAGCTCTTCAGATTTTAGAAGGGATTCCTTATATTCAGTGTTTTTTTATATAAAGGATATGTTTATATTCTTTTACCTTTTACACTATCCAGATTTTATTTGGTAAAGTGATTCAGAGGTGTTATGTTGGATAATTCTCCATTGTTCCCCTCTCCCACTGCCACCCTTGATAGCTGTTTTAGAGGTTGAATTCAGTATAGCCACATTGCTGAGCTGTCATTCATAAACATCAGGATGTGACTAATGCCTCTGGGCTATCTTTGTTGCATTCATATGCCTGAAAAAATGGAAAATGGCAGAAGCTCACTTAAAAAAACAGTTGAAAGGCACAGAGTTTTGTAGTTTCAGTATGTCTAACAGTCCACGTCTTAATCCAATGGCTGCCTCATGAATATTCCATTTATTTTCCTCTTTTGTTGACATCTATGAACTCAGAAAGTCTTTCAACAATTCAAAGGTGAAGTGATCCATGCCTATTCTTTTTTCAAGATTAGGCTACTATAGTATACTCTTCTTTTGAAGTTGTAGTCAGTGTAGAAGGCTGTGGCCCGCTTCTTAATATACGATGGCTGTGCTTTGCAGATTGGCTATCTGTCGATTTCCAGACAGAGGTTAAAGTCATGGTTCTGACCTGTAAAGTGCTAAATGACTAGGGACCTGACTATCCGAGAGATCACTTCCTTCCTGGTGCAACTATGCCAATGTAGATGCTCAAGCTGGAAGTAACTTACATGTGAAAGGGCATTGCTGACAAGATGTTCTCCTTGATAGCCTCTTGACTTTAGAATTCATTTTTCATCCAAAATAGTATGCATTGTTTAACTTTTAGGACATAAGAACACAAGAATGGCAGCTTAGGTCAGTTAAACAGTCTAGCTAATCTAGTATCTTGTCTTCTGACAGCAGCCAATGCCAGATGCTTCAGAGAGAAGGCATAGAACATGGGCTATTATCAAATGCCTCATTCCCTATCATCCAGTCCCAACCTGTGTCAATCAGACATTTAGAGACTCTCAGCACAGGGAATTGCATCTGTGACCATCCTGATTAATAACCATTGATCAACCTATCCTCCATCCTGTAGAGCCCTTCTGTTTGTCCAGGCATTTGGAAAAAATTAAGGATTTGGATGGGGAATGTGGATTTGATGGAAATGGAGTTTGGTGTCTTGGAGTAGTGAAAATTTGGGCTTTGTGGACTGTTTTCTATTGTCGGAGAAAGGTTGTTGAATTTTTGCAGCTGTTTACATTTTAATTGGAATGTGTTTCTAGTTATTTGTTAAAAACATCCAGAGGCTGGGATAAGCATTCATTTTATATTTGTGTGTTGAAACTGGAGTAAATAAATACAAAACCAAGTCAAACAGCTCATTTTGAAATTCTGAGAGCCTTCCTGTCTGCACTTTGATTGTCTAAGAAATCTTACTTTTATATATTGCTGCTTTAGAGCTAGTGGAAATGAATTAGTATTGAGGCCATCTGTTTATTTATAGGCTTTTCTGTGTCACTCCTCAGCGCCATACCTGAGTGACTAAATATATCCTCCTAACCAGAGCTTAAATTCTCCTCAAGTATTCTCTGGAGCCATCAGACTCGCAGCTTGAGCGTGGTGGGGTTCGTCAAGGGTCCCATGGCTTTGAAAATATTTACTGGGGCTGTGCTCCAGGTGGCTCTGTCTGAATTTAAGCCCTATTCCTAGCACTCTGAGGTTTGGAGATGTTGTTACAGATGGGGAACTGAGGCACTGAATAGGGACGTAAGCAAGTAGTTGAGTCAAATACTCAACTACTTGCTTCCCCCCCACACCTTGCTGCCTCTGTATGAGGCAGCAAGAGAGGGAACAAAAGCCACTGCGGCAGGGAGCCAGCTTAAAGCCAGTTCCCCCCAGCACCATCTCCCCAGTGCTGCCTGCCTCCCAACCCCTCTACTGTCTCTAGTAGAGGCTCACAGTGGGCTGAGGCTTGCTGTGGGCAGAGGCTGCTCTGACAGCAGATACTGTCTTGGAGGGGGGCGTTCCAGCAGGAAGCTGGGCCCACCATGGATGGGGGCTGCTGCCGGAGCAGCCTCTGCCCACAGCCATCCTGGCCACTGCAAACGGGCTGCTGGATCTGGTGTGAGCCAGGGCTGAGCAGTCCTGGCTCGCACTGGTTTGGGACTGCTGCGGCTCTGTCCCGGCTCGTGCCGGTCTGGGAGCTACCTCCACTGTGGCGCTTCAGTTTAAATGTAGTATGAGACAGGCTGCCTGCACACCCAGCTCCTGCTACATTTAAACTTCAGAGCTGCAGCAGAGGTAGCTTCTGGACCAGTGTGAGCCAAGACCGACTAATCATGTAGTCGATACAAATTAACATCCTTAGCATAAAATAATGATGTGACTTGAGAATAGCCACACAGGAACCTATCACAGAGCCAAGAATAGAACTCAGATTTTCTGCCTCCTAGTTTCTTAGCCACAAAACCATCCATCCTCTTATACCTTGTCTCTTGCTTAGCAGGTTCACACACTAGATCTTGTATGTAAAAGTCCTGCAACAGGAAAATATACAAGAATATCATGTGTTTCTTTGCAGGATCAGTTCCTTTATAAACACATTGCTGCACAGCTTGTATCCAAAAGAGGACATCAGAAATCTATTTTTTTTTTTGCATATTGTTTCACTAATCCCTATCTGGTGTCTGTGTTTGCATGGGAATGTATTCTTTAGTGTAACAGATAATATCTTTATAGTAAAAGAGAGTAGAATAAAAAAGCAAAGAGATAAAACATAGAAAAAGAAAACTGTTGAGTTATCTCCATCCCCTCGCCTTTACCAGTAATATAGTCTTAAAAAAATATTTCTGGTTTCTTACTCACAGGGTATGTCTTTACACAGCAGCGCTATTTCAGGATAATGTCTGTTATCCTGAAATAGCATTCTGTGTGTTTTAACAGCATGCCCATTATTTTGAAATATATTTGAAATAACTGGCTTTCTATTCTGACTTCCTGTAAACCTTGTTGCACAAGAATTAAGGAAGATGCCAGAATAGCGATTTATTTTGAAATTAGCGTTGTGTAGACAGTGCCAATTTCAAAATAAGCTATTTTGAAATAAACGACACAATTTGCATAGCTTAAATTGCGTAGTTTATTTCGAGGTATGCACTACTGTGTAGACATACCCATAGTGTGCAATCCATAGTATGTGCATATGTCTTTCTGGATGTTAGATTATAATCTACTCAGAGAATGGACCTGTCTTTGTATATATCTTTAAAACTTGTGATATACTATTGGGAATGAGACCAGTAACATTTTTACATTCAATTACACTGTTCAAACAACAGTTGTTACAGACTTATTGAAGTCAATAGGTTTTTTAAAAAAAATTATGGCATAAATTAGCCTTTACAAGGTCATATTTTATGGTAAAATCAAAAGTTAAGTGAACCTTTACTACTGAAGTATACTTATATTAATATTGCATTTCAGTTATTGTCTTGACAAGGTATTTAATTTACCTGAGCAGGGTGTCACTGTGGAGAATCTAATTGTATTTGTAACTAGGATGTGGAAAGAAAAAGACGCAAATTTTCATCAACAAAAATGTATGTTTTCTGAAGGATATAGCATTTGATATTTACTTCATTGATTATCTTTCTTTGCTACCAGTTATTTTAATATTACATTAAACAGTTGTTTATGCCTGGTCTCTGCCTTCTGTTTCTTTTCACCATTCATTTTAAAAATTGTATTAGAGTATGTGGCTGCACATTTTAAAAAATACTGCAGTTGCAGCTGTTTTTATTTGATTTAAGCCTTGTAAAAACAACTTTTGTCCAGTTTAAGTTATTTTATTACCTACTTTCCTTTTATAAGTAGAAGTATCTAAAGGAAACAAGCATTCTAGTTTTGTATTTCCGCTTTACCAGGTAGGTTACCACCCAGTTTTTCTGGAAAATGATTAAATAAAGTTAATTTGGTAAAATATTATTTGTTCAGAGATGTTTATATATTTCTTCAGTGAGATCTTGCACCATATGTAAAACACAGATAAATTAGAAAGGAAATTACTTCTCATAACCTATTTTCCTTGCAGATAATGATTGAAAGATAAAATCCACAGACTGAGAGCAGTAATATAGGAAACAGAATATAATGACGGATTACTTATCTGAAAAATTTTATCACTCATGTATCTGTGTTTAAATGTTGTGGTTGCTGTAGGCTCTGATCCTGTAAACACATGTGTGCTCAACTTTGTTCATGCATATAAATCACATTGATTTCTTTGGGATTACATACATACGTCAAATTAAGCATTACTCTGTTTCCATTAATGAAATCACAATAAAATATGAAAGCAAATATTCTACTTTTTTGTCTTCTGACAATCATATCAAAATTTACCTCAAATGAATTATAGCTGCTCAAAGCAATCTGCAGTAGAAGGAGGTCTGCAGTAGAAGGAGGTCTTATCATTATTGGTCAAAGTAGCATCAAATTATCAGATTGGAGTAGTGCATGAAAAAAGTGCACCAAAAAGTCAAAAATAAAATTTTAAGCTAGCCATGTAGGAGAAAGATTGAAGGGCTAAATATGATTCATGGCAGTTGCTAACTGTTAGCCCTCCAATCTTTCTCCTACATGGCTAGCTTAAAATTTTATTTTTGACTTTTTGGTGCACTTTTTATTATTTTTAGTCTTTTGGTGCGCTTTTAGAAAGATCATTTTTTTAAAAAGTGTCAGTCCCTGCACCCCTCGTCCTGCCCGCATGGGCAGCCCTCTCCCCCAGCTT